CTCCTATCTCTGGGGGCACTGCGTACGATCCTATAAAGGTTTGGGTGGGGAAAATTATTATCTCGGAAACCATGATGGCTACGAAGCTAAATCTTTATTGTAATGACTCCTGTCTACGTGCGACGTCCCAAATTTAAAACCAGTCGCCCGCGAAAGTTTTGACCGAAAAATTACTGTCTCGGGAACTATAAAAGCTGGGAGGCTGAAAATTCCAGTAGGGTGTTTTTCGCCTATGTAAGAGCGTCGCAAACTCAAATCTAGTTCCCAAGTACGCCGAAGTCTCACGCACGATCGCACGAAATTTTTAGCGCGAAAACCACTCAAGAAGATGAAATCTTAGAAGGATGTTCGCCGTCCAAAGTATCAAATCCAACTGTAGCGTGCCGGTGCGTGAAATTTTTCGTGAAAAATTTCGCCAATTAGGAACTAAACAACATTTCGACTATTTTTTGCACAGAACAAAATGCAAAGCAGTGAAAATCCTTAGCAGGCAAACGTTGGCCGGATGGAAATGCGCAAAACGCATGACCGCACCGGTTACCCTGGTGTGCGTCGCTTTTTATTTATTTTCGTGAGAATGCAGTGGCGTCGCCTAATCAGGTACCACGTTCCGATTCCCTCCGCGGGCCAGATTAAAACCAATCGCGCGCCGGGCCCGGCCCGCAGGCTGCCGGTTGCCCACCTGTGTAGTAGCGGTAAGGTCTCCTTACCGTTAGACCCTACGGTTCCCACAGTGTATAATTTTGCTGTAAATGGAACTGCACACTGTTCAAATCGACTTTGTATTTCTGCCCCTTCTTTGCAGCAATATTTTCCAAATTTCAATCAGAAATGTAAACATGTAGAAACTGGTTGACCCAATGAACTTGCAGAGAGTGCAATCTGTACACTACTGCGTAGATGATAGACCACTGTACTGCAAAACTATTGGTTTTTTAGATAAATTGCATGCGGGCGTTGCAACAGATATGTGCCTCATTGTTGCCAAAGATATTGTGAATTTCCCAGTATCAGCGATCCGTCTTACTGGTACAATTGATGTCTACTGGATTGTTCAGGATGGTGGATTATGTATACTTGTTGCTTATTTGCTTAAACAGAGCAAGGTACGTATAGTGTATCTCATAATTCCCATATTGCTGTAAAAAATGTCATCAGTTGCAAAGCTTTTAAACAATCTAGACAAGGCTAGCAGCACTTGCCCAAAATGACACTCATATTTTCGTTATTATTCTCATTAACTGAAGTTTATTTTTTTTCTCTGCTTTTTTATGCGTTTTCACATATTTCAACTCAGCAACAGCAGAAGCTAGGAACCTAGAATTGCACAAGGATGTTCTTAGCCCATGTGTCGTCCAAGCAGCTTAAAATCACCTTTCACTTGCGCCTGGAACTCATGGATGCCCGAGAGGATTCATTCAAGTTTCTTGGCGGGCAAGCGATTTGGGGAACCAGAAAAGATAGGAATCTGAAATATCACAAAGTAGGAATGTTAGGGATATTCTCTGTCCTTGTTTGAGTGAAAGATTTCAAATTCAGCTTCAACACACGAACATCCTGCGCATGGACGCACTAAAGTTGAGATAGTAAAATTACTGCAAAATGCCAACTCGGGGATTAAGCTGATTAGAGAGCAATAATTTTATGAAAATACTTGTTTTCCATACTGGATATGTAGGCATGAAATGAGCTTTGGCGTTCCGTCTTTGTAGCGTGTTCGAATATGACAAAGATTTTCATAACAAAAAGCGATTTCACCAACCAGTCATGATAGCTGGAATTTTATGAAAATATTCTATGCCCATATTTGACCGAAATACTTCAAATGAAGCTTTAAAGTGCACTCAGGCTAAGCGTGCGTGCAAGTAAGATTTTAGTTTAAAACACTGTTAAAAACAATTCGCCCAGTAACCAGGCTGAGGAGGAAGCAGTATTTTTCTGAGAATGTTTGCTGTTCATATTCACTCCACGAACCGTAAGACCAACTTCTGCCTGACCATTGGCCGTCCGTGCAGGCGTACCGGATATTCAAATTGCAATACCACAGTCTCACCCCAGCAGCACGGGTGGCGTTCCTACAGGTTGGAATCATGCAGTTGCGTGGTAGCACTGACAAGCTTGTTGCGTCTTTACCTGGGTTTTTATGAATTTTGTTCTGTACAGCAGGTACACAAAACCCATATTGCCACATCCCCGTCCGTGTTTGTATGTGTGCGTGTGTGTGTG